ACTGGCGCCGCCCCAGCAGGGGTCGGTATATATATATATATGTACACGACATATATATACGTACATATACATAGACATGAGCTGAAAGTGATATATACATAGGTACTTATGTACATATATCTGTACTCTCTTTCTTTGTTTATGTATGTACATACATGTTTATGTTTATCTTTGGGTGCACTCATAATGGTTGTCATATCATATGCTTCTCGTACATGTGTGCCACATGTAGCATAGATGTGTGTGTGTGTGTGTGTGCGTGTGCGTGTGTTGTTTGTGTATGCATGCACACACAGATAAATAAATAAATAGATAGATAAGTAAATAAATCAATAAATATAAATATAAATATAAATATAAATAAATATATATATATATATATGTATGTATATGGTTGAGGTATGTACGCAGGCATGAACACATTAATTAGAAAAACACGTGCAGCATTAGAAGTAAATATGTGGCTACATCGTTAAGTCGTTGTATCACCAAAGAAACATGCTGTACACATGTCCGTTTCGTTTAAGGAAATGCGGTTTCATCTCGAACTATGTTTAAACGCTTCCTGCATCCATGCCGCAAAGCTTACACCATCCCCCAAGTGCTCTTTAATCTAAAGAAAGTCTCACCCCTCATAGTTCGAGTGTGCGAAGCGTACTTTGGCGTGTTGCTCACGTAGCACATATGCATGTATCCGTCGTCTGCTACCTGATGTCTGTTTCCTCTGATCTGCAGTGATAGCAACGAAGGCGATCGAAGCGCGCTTTGACGAGTTGCTCTGGCAAGCTACTGACAGCAACCGGACCGCAGCTGTTCCACACACAACGGCAAGGCCTGCACGATACATACTATATATATATATATACATACATATCTATATATATATAAATACATACATATACACACACATACATATACACATACACATACTGTATAGGTTAGTTTATTTCTGTTCATTTTGATTTTACATGTTTGAATGCGGGGAAGCTGTGCCATCCAGAGCACTAAAGTTTTGGTTGCATGTCGCGCTGTGTCATCCGCGTCCAGCGTGTGCCAGCCTAAGGGGCTGCACACACCAAGATTGCCCCACGTCCCAATGTTTATGATGTGCGTAACCAATGATCATAGCGGTTCACTGGTAAACCCGAAAGCCATCTAAATCCTAAAACCCTAAATCCATCTAAATCCAAAAAAGCCCTACTCCTACATCCTAGACCCTCAAAGGCGTGGCCTGTCGGCTCGCCCTGGCATCCTGGCTTTGCGGCGGCCGAGTCGACCGGTATCCTGGCGAGGGCAGTTTCGAAGCCGATTGATTCCCAGCGAAGCAGAATCGAAGTCTGCTTAGGCAATGTGTATGCAATGCAGTAACTTGAAAGACAGAGCTGCAGAGACCATCGCCTGCAAGGGGCGAGGGTGTTCGCTGGCGAAGCTATAAGCAAGGTGCCAAACGCTACATTCGCAACGGAATGGCTCACACAGCTGTGCTGGCAAGCAACAGCCCCTGGCAGCTTTTCACAAGTGCATCCTCTTAACATGTTGACCGACAGGAAGAGCAAGGTTCTAGACCACAGTCCTGGTCCTGATATTCTTTCTTGCCGTAAGCAGCTGATGCAGGTCGCTGCGAAAGGCCGTGGCTGGCCATGTGCTGCGAACTTCGCACCACAGAGAGGCTGCGAAGGGCTTGGTGCATATGGTGGAACGGTGGAGCCCAGCCGCAACTTTTTCCTGCCCTTCCATCACTTTACAAGTATTATGACTACTAATACCATAATTATTTTCATTATGAATATAAATACTATACTATTTGTTGATGTGGGTCCAGCCAGGAAGACGCAGAGGAGGACCTGATGTTGCTTGCAACATGTGGGGTGCTAAGAAGCAGATTGTCGGGCATTGGGTGCTTGTGATGCGAAGCATTGATCGTAGAAGCCCAGTTCCTAAAAGCTTTGGGAGAATCATGGGATTTGTCATCTGGTTTTTGACAGAGACGGACTTGAAATCGATGATCCGCAACGACAGTATCAACAGTTCCTTGGGGTTCGCCGCACATCGTCCACAGTCCAAGTAACTCATTATTCCGGCTTCGTCTTGCTAGCTCCAGCATTTTTGCACTTTTCGGAACGTGGATATGATGTGCCAATCTGAGAGCAGCCTGACATCTCTTGAGACTCTAGGCCTGATACCATGTAGTTGCCCAAACAGTTCGAGCAGGCTTTTCGGAGCCTAGGGGTGAAGGTAAGCCATTCTGGACGACACAAAGACACCAAAACTTCAAATTTCCAACTGCACCCCCATTCCGCCCTAAGCAGCAACCCCCCAACCTCTAAACGCTCTGAACGTCTCGCAGCCCTAGACCCCAAATCCTGCACCACTGCATCCCAGGCTGGTTCCTGACACCTCCTTGAGCCCGTAATAATAACGATTTTTATTTTTAATAATAATGAACATAGTGATAATCATAGTAATGATAATGCTACTACGAATGCGAATAATAATGGTATTCTAATAGCAATAGTGACAGTAACAGTAATAGTATACCCCTACCGTTTGAATCAATCGATCTTGCGGTCTTTGCATGCTTCAGGTGCGGCCATGGATTGCAGGGCAAGGGTGCATGCTTTGGGTAAGCCACGTGGTGGGGTATCCTCGCTGTGACCCGAGTGAAGCAGAGAGCAAAGGGCAGACAAAAAACATAAATCCTAAACCCTAAACCTTAAATCCTAAACCCTAGATCCTGAACCCTAAACCCAACCCCCTGACCCCAGAAGGTCAGGGTGCTGCGGCCATTGCTGCTCCGGACCTTCGCCGAGCAGAGTCCTTGAGCCCCACAGCTGCAGTCGGCGGAGCACAACTTCTTACGGGATCAGAGAGGACTTTGCACAGCTGTTTGTCCTTGGAGATGGAGTTTCAGGTTTCGGGGTCCAGGGTTTAGGACTTAATATAGAAGCCTAAAGAATTACCAGCAGTCTCTTGGGTTCCTTCTGTTTTTTATACTATAAGGGAGCCCCAGAACCCTATTCTGATTACTAAGGCCCCTTTTCTTTAAGGGTTTCGGGTATCAGGCGTCGGAGGGAAGAGTTTAGGAAACTTCATAGCTTGGGTTTCGGGTTTGGGGTTTCATCCTCTATCTACCTTAAACCCTAGATCCCTAGATCCCCAAACCCTAGATTCCCCAAACCCGAAGCCTTGGATCCAGGGTGCCGTGCTATGTTGGGGACCTAAAACGGATTCAAGAGGTTTGAGGAGTTTAAGCGGCGTAAACGTGAAGGTTTAGGGTTCAGTGTTGGCACTGATGATGTTCATAGTCTAGCAGATGCATGAGATGTTACACAAAAATGAGGTCCTAAAAGCGCGGGAACTCGCATGGAATCTTTATTCAGATCCAAGTGCACCGGGCATTCAGTTGCTCAGGTCGTGATTTGCTTCGTTCTGCGATTGTTCTTAGATTCAGAATTCCTTGGCTTGCTTGAGAGCTGCTTCACTCAGATCCAAACACTCCATGCTGCGGAACCTAATCCGGAACGAGAAGCGGAGCAGCCTTCTGGCCTGGCAGTCTATTCTCTTGGGATGCCCGACCGCCTCTGGAACCCAGGAACAATCTGGCATGCACCACGATGCCTAGATTCTATTTGCTGTGTTTAACTTTCCGTCGGATTTTGTGGTGTCTTGTAGGGTTTCGCTAGCTTTTCCGAGTTCAAAGCAGAACATACTAGTCTTCGCAGTTAGAGGCGACACCGCCAGCAAAGCAATCGGGAGCACAAATCCGCGGGCTGTGGTGCCTTACCTTTTCAAGAAGAACCTAAAGCACTAAACCTCAATCCCAACAAGCACCTTGATCGTCAGCTCTTCAAAACCAGTGCTAGGGCCTGTTGTGGAAACACGGCCAGGGAAAAGCAGCTTTCTTGCGGGTTGGCTTTTCTTTTTTCAGATATGCCCAGCTCTGCACGGGTTTTCGCATTGATTCGTCTGATTCATCATGCGCCCTTGTGACATGGATTTCCGCGGGGAGCCACATTTCAGGAGATGATGATCATATTCTTGATGGGCTCTCAACAGCCAGCAGCTAGCAGCATGCGGGCTTGGAGCCCCGCGATATAGCATCGTTCTCATCGCCTAACTCATAGTTTGTACCTAAAGCTACAGCTTACCCCGTACCATGGTGGATGCAGGCACCTTAGACGCCCACTGCTTCCTAGACCTTCCCTGCTTCTTGCAAGTTGGATTGCCGCCATGATGTCCAAGATAAGTGTGCGACTTGCCAGTGTGGGTGCCATCCATTATAGTCTCGTCGTTTGCAACTTGTATTTACTTATGCGGTGGCGCAGGAATGTGCCCGTGCGACTCGCGTTCGAGCTTCACGGGGTGGTTGCATGATATGTATGGGTTCATGTTCCGACTTCAACGCACGCTGTCGCGCAAGCAGTTCACAGCAGCACCGACAGAGATATCTGCCGTTGAAGCTTAAAGACTCGCTGGCGATCGCAGGTCGGGTTGTGTCGGCTGCTTCGAGTTGCGTGATGAAGCTGCTGACTTCTATACCAGATGCTTCTGGTAGGCTCCACAGCTGGAGCACATCTCAGCCCAATAATTTACCCCGTTGCATCCGACATGTCCTACCCAGACCATGAGCCATGGCCATATGCCGCAGTCCCCGCGCCACTGCCCCTGATGTACCTCGATCAAGCTTTCGCTCGTCCTGAGGTTTTGCAGATGCGGAAGAAATCCATGGCAGGTCATGGGTGGAGGCCCGCTGCATTCGAAGGCCTTGTTATAGATCTGTGGCTTGAAAGGACGCTTTTGAAGCTCTCATGGTGGCATGCGCTTAACAACCTGTGCATAGCATCGATAGCTGCTCTCAGGTTTCGCGGCAGCTGGAGCACAGCCTGGTGGTGCACCTGCATGACCGCCATGATGAGGTTGCGAGCAGTCTGTTTTCGCGAGAGCATCAAGCCGCTGACCCCGAAGTGCAGAAATGAAGCGCTAAACCAACACTTGGCCTGCTGGCCTTTCACTACTGGAGGCCCTTGCGCAGGCTACACGTCGCCTGGCATCCCGCCTCGGGAGGAAGAGGCCGAATCTTAGTCGTGCCCGGGCCAAAAACGGGTTCAAGGATTGGGGAGTTGTTTGCTGGTTCGATCTTTAGCCGTTCTGCTCTCTTCCGGAACTGGGGCAGTTGAACAGTGGATGATGCCAAAGCTCAAATTCTTCTTGCCGGGAAGTGCAAAAGCTGAGGCATTCTGACGCAGCTGGTGGAGGCTGGAGCCTTGCTGCACCCTAGAGACGATTTGCTGTCGCTTTGTTGCAAGCACCCGACATGAGGCGGCGCCGCCTCCATCGCCAGCTACACCACACGAGAGCTTGCATCAGCCACCAAGGCCTGGCTCCGAAAGTTAGAGCACCCAAAAAGACATCAGCCTTTCCGGACTCCTCTATTTCGGAGGGCTCTTCTGATCGCAGATATGATTCTTAAGTCGTTATTCCAGTTCAGGCCCTTCTAATTTGCAAGACCTTATCGCCGGCTTTATGGCTTAAAACCAAAATCCACCTGTGAAAACGATTGTCCTGCAGGCGTGCTGGCCTGTCCTCATTACTGCTGCCCAGCGTGGGTGCACGGCTACCCGAGCCGGATCAGGAACACGCTATGGTCTGCAGTCTGGTCGGTTGTTCTTTTGGTGTTGTGGGGATTGCAAGAGGGGTGGCTACAGAGTCAGATTTTCCGGCATCGTTTTTCCCCGGCAAGATAGATTGTCTATGCTTGCTTCTTCTCTAAACTTCAAAAGAAACTGCAGTGCCCTCAGGAACAAGATGACACGGCTGCGGTCGCGGCTCAGCGCCTGGACCGAGCCTTGCGCAGGCTCCGTTGCTTGATCTCTCTAGTCTCATCCTCTGACAATCCACCGTGCACTACAAGCCATGTTGGCCGGTAGCCCTCTCCGCACAGGTCCGGGTTGGTGCCCGCAGCTTGCCCCCTCGCCGATGCAGCGCGGAACTCGGTCTAGAGTCCAGCTGGAACGATTTTGGACTGGGGAGGGGTTCAGCAAAGCCAGGTAGCGCTGGGGCGGTTTCTGTTCAGTTGTTCGTTTTCTTGGCTGGGACGCTCCGCGACCCGAAGCCGCCCAAACTGCAGATGTTTCGTTTCTAAAGTAACCATCGATGTTGTGGAACTCGTGACAGGCTGCCATGTTCGACCTTGATGATGTGCAGGCCGGCATTTCAGAGGGTCAGGGGTTCAGCTTTCCGGAGTTGCCTAGAGGGAACGGTCACGGCATCAGAGCGGTCTGTACAGCCTCCCAGCTGTGCCACCTTTGATGTGAGCCGGGGGTGTGATACCCAAGCAGTAAGCCAATGGCAGCTCTTTTGCTGACCGCGATTGCTGCATGTTGCGTCCTTTAGCTCGGCTTCCTACGCCTTTTACAGCTTTCCTCTCGCAGTCCCTACGAGTCGAGGTACCTATGGCCTTCGTTTTGGACGATGCACGCAGCTACATGTACCCTGCAGACGGGGCCGAAGGCTGCCTGCCCAAATGTGTGATGTCAACAAGTCGAGTAGAAGCACTGCTCTGCTCATCCCCCAAACACAGTGGCAACAAAACCGCAGTTCTTACGTTCAATGCAATGCGTCCGCTGGGCACATCCGGCGGTTCCCCGATCCTGCTGTGGCACAGTGGCACTTTTTAGTTTCCCACCTGGTGAATCACGCTCGTCTTCCGGCGACGGTCTCATGCAGATTTTGGACTCGCGTTCCGGCCGCAGTGCGGTGCGTGCTCTTGGGTGCCAATGGTGCTACTGCTACAGTGTGGCATGCACTTTGGACTCATGAGGCGCGCATCTGGCGGTTCTTGCTACGTAGGTGGGTATGTACTTACGTACGGACTGTAATATTTCACTATGACTCGACTTGTCAGGCGTGTCATGCTCGCTCTGGCTAGTTCGCGTCGGTTTGCAAGTGTCCAAGATTTCGTGAGTGATCAGTTCTGAGAAGTTGCTCTGCTTTCCGTAGCCTTCCTAGTCCCCTAAACCCTAAACCCTAAGGCCTAAACCCAAAACCTTAAAGCCTAATTCGCTTCCCTAGTCCGTAACCTCTACATCCGCAACCCTTACCTTGAGGTGGTTCGGAGGAGCTGCAGCCGGACGCCGTCTTGCACCGAGCTGAGTCACCAGGTTCGCCAGGCCTCATCCTGCATGCTTTGCGCACTGGACTCAGGGTTTCATTCGGGTTTCACAAAAGCTTGATAAAGGTTTCAAGGACTTTACAAGGGTTTTATCAGGTTCCAGAGCCCAGTAAGACAACAATCGCAGTGATATGAATAGTCATAGCTTCGTTGTCAGTTCCAAAGCCCCTTTGACTCTTGGCATTGGCCCTTCAAACTCCAAACTTGCCCAGAGGGCAAATCGACCCAGAGTGCCACCCTTCCTCGAAAGACCACTGCGCAGCGTAAGCATGCCTAAACCCTAAAAGGTAGCTAGCTGCCCTGATTCTGAGGAGCTAGAAAGCCAGAGATTCTGGAGGATTTTATACCCTAAACCCTAAACCCTAAACCCTAAACCGTTGCAGCTTGAAACGTTGACGGCTCAGGCGTGGGCCGCTCCTGGCAGATGTGGGGTGGCTAGCCCGGGACCTTGGCTGGGATGCAAAATTGACCTTTTATATTATAGTATGTTATAGTATATTATATTATATTATACTCTTCAAAAGTTTCAGACTTGGATCTAGGGAAACCCGCAGAAAGGGGAGGATACGTAGACGCTCATACTCCTGTCTGGAACAAGCATCGTTCTATTTTTTTTGAATACACCCCGTGGAAAGCAATCCAGTGGCGAGCTGGAATTTGGACAGCAGCCGCTTGTCGGCTTCATCGGAAGCCTTCTAGGATGGCTGTCGCGGTTGGGTGATAGTCAAAACAATCTCCACTCCAGAAGTCGAACTGATCCAACTCTTCTACGGCGTCGTCTGCTTGCCTTGAGCTCGTTCAAGTTGTGTCACGATTCGCCGCAGTACTTGCTGGTGTCGACGATTAGGTTCGCACAGATATAGGTGCACCTCTGAACCGGCAAGCATGATGAAGGTCACATGCCGGTGCTAGACTCACGCAGAAGAGCAGGAGCCCAAAATCATTTTGTCGACGTGAGATCCTTCTGCCCACTCGCGAATGGTTGTCTGCTGCTGAGCAGAGTATGTCGCTGAAACCACATCTGCAATCCCAGTGCGGGTCGCCGGTGTCATTATTGCGACGCAGATGAATGTCAGCTGCTGGGCCTCTGAACTGGCATGTGCAGACTGTGCACAGTCCTAGTGTTAAACTCAGCGCACATGGCATGTCAGTCTCTTGAATGTCCTTCTCTGGCAGTCGTGCTGCATATGAACTGGACTGTGGCTTGTTCTTGCTCAACAATGTGACACGCCACCGAAACCACACTTGCGGCCGGCAGTTCTCTTGGCAGCGGGTGTCAACAGAGTTGCGCACAAAGACAGGTGGGCCTCTGAACCGGCAGGTGTGATGAGCGTCACTTGCCGGTGCTAAGCCACATGAGCAGAGAAGACGTTTCGATCGAAACATCATGAGACCGGCATGGCTGGAAGCTTGTCGCAGGAAAGGTATATACGTCTTCCCTACAGGAAAGTCTGCTCTAACATCTGCTCTGCCCACCGACCCAAGCTCGCCTGTGCGTTGCCTTGTGATATCTTGTGATTTTCATCGGCCAGGTGTTTCGTCTCCGTGCGACGGACGTGTCCAACCTTCTCGGCCACAGGGGGCGAATACAGGGAGAAGGTGCTGAAAGAGCTTTCGGACAGTTTGTTGTTGTTTGGCTACAACAACAACAACTACTACTACTACTACTACGACGACGACGACGACTACTACAGCAACAGCAACAGCAACAGCAACAGCACCAGCAACAACAACTGCTACTTCTACTTAGAAAGGGACGCTGTTGGGGCCCAGTTTTCTTACACAGTGGATTTGAAGGATTTCTTGGATGCCGTGTCTATTGCATTGAGCTACTTTTATCCATACTGCTTCAGTGATGGTTCTGCTTCCACTTCTACGAGTGCTACTACTGTTGCACCTACTAGTAGATGACGACGGCGGTGGTGACGACGACTACCGCTACTACTATCACTACTGCTAGGTCGCCGCAGCAATCTGCATTGTGGACGCGATGGGCGACTGCACTATGAGTACTCGCGCACACGCTCGAGTACGCTCGAGTATGCTGGAGTATACTCTTGAGTATGCTCGAATATGCTCGAGTACGCTTGAGTACGCTCGAATACGCTCGAGTACACTCGAGTATGCTCGAGTGCGCTCGAGTACGCTCGAGTACGCTCGCGTATGCTCGAGTACGCTCGAGTACGCTCGAGTATGCTCGAGTATGCTCGAGTACGCTCGAGTACGCTCGAGTATGCTCGAGTACGCTCCAGTATGCTCCAGTATGCTTTAGTACGCTCGAGTATGCTCCAATATACTCGAGTCCGCCGAAGTGGCACTACAATTTTTATAGTAGCCATCAGAAAACACAGACCATGGTATTCACTACTATTCAACATACAACCTACACATGGTTTATGATATACGACGATTCACTAGTATGTAACATATACTGTGTAAACTCTGATATACTCGCTCGTACCTAGACAATTCTCGTGCAGTATACTCGCACGTGCTCGCACATACCCGCGTATACTCGCGCATACCCGCGCATTCTCGCACATACTCGCTCGTACTCGCGCGTACCCGCGCATATTCGCGCATACCCGCGCATACAAGTGCATACTATGACTGTGCGTGTGGTCCCCATGCACAAAGGGCTTTATTTAGGGTCTGGGGTGTTTTTGGCTCATGGTTTAGGGCTTCTTGCAGCAGATGCATGCACGCTGCTTGTGGGGCACTTCGGTCATACTTTTAAGATATAGATGTTGAGCAACCCCCTTATAAGCCCGTTGTAACCCCCTTTATAACTGTCCATGTAGTAAGTCCCGTGGGAAGACATAGAAGTTACTGGGCACAACGCAACTTCACAGTTAACTTTTCCAACTTATTTTAACATCTTTCGATGTTGTGCTAAAGTATGTTGTGTGTTTGTCAGTGATTTTTTTTGGAGGGGTGGAGCGGGAACGAGGAAGGACTGGAGGAGAGGAGGGAGTGGGAGGGGAGAGGGCGGGAGGAGGAGGGGGAGGGAGAGAGGGGTGAGGGAGAGAGGGAGGGAGGGAGGGAGGAAGGGAGGGTTTCGAGGGTTTACGGAGGAAGGGTTTAAGGAGGGAGGGTTGAGGGTTTTGGGAGGGAGGGTTTTGGAGAGGGAGGGTTGAAGGAGGGAGGGAGGGTTTAGGGAGGGAGGGAGGGTTGAGTGAGGGAGGGAGGGTTTGGGAGGGATGGAGGGTTCAGGGAGGGAGGGAGGGGTTCAGGGTTTATAATAGGGTTTAGGGTTTAGGATTGAGCACCTCCGGATCGAGCAATACTATATTAACGTTACACTCATGGTCTAGACAGAACACCCACCCACCACTGAATCCCATAACATTGACAAGCAAAAAGTTCGTTCATTTACACCAACGAGTTCCATTTACAGCTGGACTCCACGCACTTTTACGTGACTTCATGTTGTCGTTTGCACTATTTTATCTCACACCGAGACAAAACCTAGTCGTCAAACCACAAGGTCCGACAAAGCACCTGCGTAACAAAGTGGCTTAACGAATCCATTCCTTGCCGAATCCCTTGAGATAGTAGTCCGAAAATTCTATCCCTGTCGTCAAACCACAAAAATACGATTAACAAATCCATTCCTTGTCAAGGTCCGACAACACATCTGCGTAACAAAGTGGCGGGTCGGATAGTCGTCAAACCGCAAAATATACGGTTAACAAATCCATTCCTTGTCAAGGTCCAACGAAACACCTGCGTACCAAGTGGCAGGTCAAACCTAGTCGTCAAACCACAAGACTACGATTAACAAATCCATTCCTTGCCGAACCTTGAGATCGTCAAACCACAAAAATACGGTTAACAAATCCATTCCTTGTCAATGTCGATAGCGATGTTTTGTCGGACTTTGACAAGGAATGGATTTGTTAACCGTATTGTTGTGGTTTGACGACCTTGACCAGGAATGGATTTGATACCTGTATTTTTGTATTTTGACGACTAGGTTACCTGATTTAGGAACTGATGGTTGTTGTTTTCAACCGCAAAAGTGTTCAAATGACCGCCACTAGCACCATCACGGTCCTCCCACTCCTCCTGATCATCATCTTCTCCAGCGCCATCATCATCGTCATCCTCGTCGTGATCGTCATCATTCCCATCATCACCATCATCATCATCTCCCACACGGGCATGTCGAGCAGACTAGGCATCGGAGGTCAGACGAGTGCGTCACCAGCGGCCAGTAGCAAAGCTACCGAGCTACTGCTCTTTCCCTGCAGCGAGAGAGCAAGATCAGCATCCCCATCTTCTTCATCATTGCCGAGACTCCACAATTATGATTACGGTCATCATGACTGCCACCACCACCGCCACTATCATCCGCAGCATCCTCCTCATGCCCATCACAGTCATCGTCGAGGGTGTCGCGATGATGATGATGATGATGATGATGTCAAGACTTATGAATATGATGACGATGATGATGAGAAAGATGATGAGAATGATGATGATCACGACAACGACGATGATGATGGTGCTGATGATGATGATGATGGTGGTGATGGTGATGGTGATGGTGATGGTGATGGTGATGGTGATGATGATGTTGATGATGATGATGATGAGGATGATGTACGGAGCATTCGTGCCTGCCGTTCTCAAACGGCCGAGGCGATAAGATCGTCTTGTATGGTGCTCGCTAGCTTGAGGGTCAGACTCGGACTTTCAACTGCGGTGGAAGAAGAAGATGAGGATGATGATGATGAAGATGATGATGGCGATGACCCTGCACTCAACAAGCATTGTACAGTGTTGTATGTGGCTTTCTTCTGCGATTTGAAGCCCAGCTTTTGTCCAGGCATCTCGGAGCTCGTCCAGGTGCCAATCCCGCAGCCGACGAAAGCTGTGTCCCAGCTGGAACTGAGTCTGGAGTTTTGTTCCACTGGGTTTGAGGTGCTCTTGCGTCTGAGCATGTGGTGCGTCGAATGCACACATCCTGAATTGTAGGTCCTTCCTTTCACTTCAGGTCCTGTTGCAATGATATCCCTTCCGGGCGGAGTACACACCCGCCCGATCAGAGAAAGGGTCTCTAAATAAGCCGTCCTGCGAAGCAGAGGCCGCGCCGGCAGATCCATTCTTCGGTTGCCCGTCTGATTTCATGCAGTTCAACACTCGGGAGACCCGAAACGGACCTTAGGGTCAGGATGTCGAGTTTTCAGATAGGACCAGTGGTTTGTTTTGGTGCTTGGTTGGGGAAGGTGGTCCACATCTAAGTTCGCATAGGGTTTGGGGGCTTGAGGCTTGTGCCTCGAAGTGGCATTGAGTCTAAATCACAAGAGTCTTAGCACGCGACTGTCCTTCCTGCACGTGTTGTTGGTGTTACTGGGGTCCTTCGCATGACTGCTATTGGATTGTGCCTTCTCATGTATGGTTCTGGTTGTCATTGGTATACTGGCGGTAATTGTCAAGCAGCCATATTCTTCTCCGTGTTCTAGATCGCTTTCTTGGTGGTGGATCTAGGATGAGAATGGCTGCAGCAGTGCGGTTGCAAGCTGTGTCGCAGATGCAGGTGCTGTTGCTTCAGTGGCCACTTTTTCTCTCCTCCTCCGACCCTTGCTGGCAGAGTTCAGTTTCTATACTTGCTATTGTCACTGTCCCTGCCCTCAAGGCCCTATAGCTGCTGTTGATCTTCCCTACTGTTGCCGCAGTGGAGCCAGGTCTGCTCCGCGATGCCGCGAGAAAGTTTCGGCCACGGCGACGAGAGTGACATTGGAAAACAGGTTCTGGCACTCATGGAGCAGCCTCCCAGGGGCTGTCGTCCTCACGATGGGCCAAAGTGTCCGCTCGGCAGCTGCTCCTTGTCGAGCTGTAGAGCGCTGGTTCATTTCGAACGCACTCGAATCGTCTGAGCCATTGCGCTTGCAAACTGGTCAGGAAGCATCCGTGGGAGAGGCGTTTCCTCGACACATGGATAGCTTAGCATCGTAAATAGAGTCGAGTTGCCTCAACTCGCACATCTTTCGGCTGTGAGCCCTGGACCAAAGAGCTGCAAGGGCAAAGGACAAGACAGGAGAGGGCAAGAACAGAGGATGGGTGCACCTCCTTGTTACTGTTGCTGTTGCTGCTGCTGTTGTTGTTGTTGTGGTGGTGGTGGTGATAGTGATCGTCGTCGTCGTGTTTGCAGTCGTCCTCGTCGTCGTCGCAGCCGTCGTGGTGTCGTCATCGTCATCGTCTCGATCAGCACCAGCAGCCACAGCAGCCCCTGCAAAACCAGCAGCCAGCAGAACAAGCAGCCCCAGCAGAGCAGCACCAGCAGCACCAGCAGCACCAGCAGCACCAGCAGCACCAGCAGCACCAGCAGCACAACCAGCAGCACAACCAGCAGCACCGCCAGCAGCACCAGAGCCACAGCAATGCCCTCAACGCCACGACAAGCAGAATCGACACCAGCGGCAACACGAAAAAACATCAACATCAGCGTGTTAGGAGAGAGACGCAGCTGCATAGCTTTGCCGCAGTGCCTGAGTGACACAGCACTAATTGAAGTCAATGTTGTGAGCATCTCCTGCCTGGCCCGCAGAGCGAGCGCCTCCGTGTCCAAAGCCAGCGGCGGTGCCAGGATCTTCTTGGGAGGGATTGGTGAGGGCTTGATCGCCCCCCTGCCCTCTGTTGTCTCTTAGATCATCAGCGAACCCTAGGCCCTACCCCCACACCGGAACCCTAAACCCTAAACTTAGGCCCTAAACCCGAAATCCTGAGCCCTATAAACCCTAAAGCCTCCCCAACCTTCTGAGCCCAGAACTGCCCCTGAAGCCTGAGCCCCCAAAATCCGCAAACTCCCAAGCCGGTTAACCCTGAACCCTAAACCCTGAACTCCTAAACCCTAAACCCTAAAACCTCACAGGCTTACACCAAAACAGGCCCCCAAAACAAAAAGCCCCCTCCACCCTATTGGGGTCCTAGGGCTTGGGGTTCAGGGAAACGCCGCAGGAGCTTGGCAGGGCGGAAGCTGCCATGCTGCGGCTTCTCGAGGCGCTCACGGGGAACTTCGGGCCTTCCTTAGTGCAGACTTCTGATGGAGGACCTCACGTCTTCAAGGACCGAAGTTAACATTCTATTCCTCTTGACTACTACTACAATCCTAATAAACTCCCTTTTAAGAGGGGGGCGAAAGTGTAGAACTCAGAGGTTTGCATTGATTTTGCGGGCTTGGGCTTCGCTTCCTGCGCCTCGAAGCTACAAAGCCCCACGCCTTGAACTCGCAATTGCTGAACCCCGAAACCTCGAAGCTCCGAAACACAGGGGCGGTGAAATGACCCAAGGCCGTGGAAGCTCATGGCCCAAACACTCCATCAGGTGCATGTCTTAGTTCTTCTTGGGTTTCTTTGTTGATGGAAGCCGTTCAGCCGTTCTCTTACGATACTCTAAGAGCAGAAAGGTCATTGGTCGTCACTCGTTTTGCTGCTTTGGTGGGTTATTCGGGTTCTGTGAACAATCTTTAGTTGTTTCCGTGTGTATGAAGATCAGCCGGGGTGTCTTAAAGAAATGTTTGAAGGTTCACAGACACCTGTCCCTCTCACGAATGTTGCGACAGCCCTTTGTATCTACAACGGTGTTCCCTGTAACTAGCTTGTCTATCTTCGAAAGCAGTCTAGTGCATTCGTTCTGCCTCCGAGTCTTAACTTCGCGAATCTGCGGTAATAGCAATATCTCTAGCCACCAGAGCAGAGAATGGACTGCTGCAGGAATGAACGAAATTGGATTTGCTGGAATGCTCCGGATGGCTTTTTGCACAGTTCTGGGCTGACCCAACTTGCGAACTTGCCTGCATTCTGCTTGCACTGTCAGTTTGTCGCATCTTCGTCCTGCAACGTCCCTTACGGTTGCAATGCGAAGTTGCAAGCCAGACAAGTTACCAAGCCAGCAGACACACCCTTGGCTGTAAACGACATTGTGGCAGGAAGACTCAAACACTAATTGTTTGGTCCTAAACCCTAAGCCCGAAATTCCCGAAGACCGATTCCGGTACGACGCTGCTGTGAGACAGGTCCCTCCACGCCGCAGACTCAGCCAAGCTTGAGCCTGCCCGACTGACCGAAAAAAGGAGCGCAATCTGGAGTGTCCTAAACCCGCAACCCACAAAAAGCCCATAAACCCCCTAAGATCCTAAAGCCTAAGCTCTCAAATGGGAACGTGGCGAATCCTTTAGCCAAACTGGACTCAGGAATCAGCCTCGGCTTTCTCTTTGTTTGCTCTTTCATCGGCGAGGGGACAGCTAATTTTTTTCTTGGTCGACTTCTGCCACACCAAGGGTGACTGGCAGAGTAGGCTCTGCTCCCAGTCCGTCTCTTGAGGCGTCCTCGCTTGGAGGCTTCTGGGACTTTCCCTCCATGCCACCAAACCCTGTGCAATACCAAGCTCTCTGCCAAAAGTACGATTGGACCTGGAAGACCACTGGCCTCGGAGCAGTGACGAGACTTCGTCTGACTGTGGCGGAGGTCTCTCTTCCTGTCAGCTGTGGCTCAAGCACAGAGCCCCAGACATCGGGGAGAGCGCGACCCCAAAACTGGGAACCTGCCGCATCCCTGTCGAGGACGGGCGCTCTTTCGGGTTTTTCAGGGAGGGATGCCGGTGCTAGTCAGATGCCAACGAGACCCGAACCCCGAAATGGGACCCGAAAAAGGCCATTGCAGCGTTGTGCAGAAGCGCAGAGGCTTTGGCATCTAGGAGGTCTCGAACCAGAAAGATTGTGACAGGCAACCCATCAAAACCCCAAACCCAAAACCCTAAGCCCCAACTTAACAACCTAAGTTTCCAACTCTTCACCGGATCCCCACTGGTCGGAGTAGGAGCTCTGCTTCGGGGACCCCAAACCCTAAACCCTAAACCCCCCCGGCTTTCGGGAAGTTTCCGGCGAACCGCCGCCCGGAAGCCTGAAGATCCAGAAGAAAGCCAGCTCCGTCACTGCGAGAGGATGTTGGTACCGGAGGCAGGAGCCGAAGCGTTCTAGGCAGTTCTGTTGCAGACCATGTATGAGATGTTAGATGTTAGATCTTAGAGGAGAAAGATGTTCGTTATTGGAATTTTATGTTGCACATTATGCGTTATATATATATATATATATATTTAAAAATATACATAGATAAATAGATAGAAAAATAAATAAATACATATGTATATAT